CACACAGTGACTGTTGTAAATAGGCACCAGTGACCCCCGTGACCCGAAATGGAAGAAGTGGGTAAAAAGATAATGGATGAATGGGTTTTCCAGCAGAACAATGACTACGTTCTGACCTATGTCAGAACTGGTTTTTGACTGGACACAGCTGCTAACACTAAAACTTTAGACTGGCCTTCCAAAAGTCTTGACATCAACCCTGTTGAAAATTTGAGGACTAGGCTCAAAAGCTCAAAAATCCATACCAGGAACCCGAAGAATTTACAGTAGCTGAACTCTAGCAGTTTGTCAGAGTGGTCACTATACTCAGCCAGAATGATGAAGCTTGTTCTGAAGCTACAAGTCTGTGCTCCAGGTGCAACTTGCTGAGACAATTAAACAAATATTAGTGGGAAGGTACAAATATATTTGAGCCTGTGTGTTTGATTGACACATATGTGTGTGTATTTCAAGTAGAAAAAAAAATCCACAGTAAATTCAAATTGTGCACCTAAGTTGTATTTTGAACTCCTGACCACAACTCTAACTTTTCCCACGTTTCCAGGTCACCTAACTTCCTGATAAATTAATCTGTCAGCTTGAGGTGAGCCTCTTGGAAGCTTTAAGAAGAAAACACATGACTTTTCAGAGGTCAGCGTGACTGATAATCGACTCAGAAAGTCGACAAATTAATAAGAGCCGTTTAAACAATGACCAATCGTGTTTTTTGTTGAGCTGTTTATAAGAGCTTTGTGCCGTTTTGAGCTCCTGCGACTGGGAGCTAATTTAGCCTCTCAAACACAAGCCTTGGAGCCATCTAATCATTTTATAATCCTTCCTCCAGGCAGCTGTGGTATTACTCAACAGGCAATTTCAAAGGGCTGGAGCTGCACAAACCCAGGGCCTCTTATGATCGCCACACTGCCAATAAAAACAGCACCGTGCGTGTGTGTGTGTGTGTGTGTGTGTGTGTGTGTGTGTGTGCCACAGGAAACAACACATACAAAAAGGAAGGTTTTCATTTTCATTTATCTTTTAATCTCGGCGAGATTCGATTTGACGGTCGTGCTGAGACGTGCTATCGGAGTCCTGTGAGACTCAAGGCAAATGAAAGTGTGGAGGTGAAGATTTATCAACCGAGCTCTTCAACGAGAGCAAGCAAAAGAGAGAATATTAGGAACGACATAAAACTTGATCAAACTGATGCTCTGTTGCGGAAAGAGCTTATTGATAGCACGCCTAAAGCTAACACGGCCCTGAGTCGGCTCCTCAGGTGGACCCTGAACACGTGGTTCAAGTATTTCAGGACTCGTTCTTATGGAGAAATGAGCACTTCCAAGAATGAACCCATAGCAAGTTGCTTTGTTCACGGCACGTTATCTCCTCCTCGCCTTGAACCGCAGCTCAGAGAACCAGAGCAAGAAGCTGCAGGCAGATACAGTCATCCCCCACCCCACTGTGGGCAGAGAAACCCTGGGGATGGGGGGGCTCTTATAGGGTTTTTACTTTTTGTACAACTAGTGATCCTGAAAGAGAACAGCTTCTACAGCTAAATATAAAGAATCTCCTTTAAATCACAGCAGGAGAACATCACGTGCCCTCACGATGACCGCACTGACACAAGGGAAGGGAAAGAACTTTTTCGTCATGGCGTTAAAGAATTTTTTTTTTTCTGCTGTGGAACGTCCAGTGCAGCGTGTGAGTCAGGCACCTGCTGAACTCGTGTCCTCGCACTGCTGCGGCACCGAGCAGCTCATTATCACCAAGCAGGGAAGCACAACGTTACGGAGCTGTGAGGCAGCCACATACGGTAAATGTTGCATTAATGTTAAGGATGCTGGTGCACGAGGATTAAAGGGATCTTCTCACTAATTTGAGTTTTTATCACCTGCCACCAATGACAAAAAGAGATAATGTCTTTGCCTGTGTGTTTGTCTGTATTGTTAGTAAAATAACTCAACCAGTGGACAGATTTGAATGAAACTCAGGTAACCAGCTGTGCAGATGTTGAGCCTCGTTTGTTGTGGTAGTAGCTGAGAGTCATTGTCAACAAAAACCCCAAGTGCTAACAGAGACCGTTTACCACCATTTACAAGGTTTAAAACTTTTATTTTTCTTTCTGTTCTCAACATAATAAGATCTTAGTTTAAACTCTGTGTGAAAGGAGGTGAGCGGTATATTTTAAGGAACATTAATGATAATAGCTCAAAATAAGCAGCTCAGTCAGTGAACGTGTTCTAAGTTTTTACTGGGGTTGTCATAGTGTTGAAAAATTGGAGGAAAGAAACAAAAATCCTTCCCATACACTCAACAATGTAGTTATGGTAATGTATGACAAGCGGTACGCTGATGTCACTGAGGGAGTTGAGTAGAGAATATTTGTAGATTTTAAGTAGAAGTAATATTTTAATTATTTTTACTTTTATTGTTTTGTTTTTTTTCCTTGTCCAATGCAGCGTGGCGTGACGGGTCCTGGCAAATGGTGGGAACAATTTATCCACCACTGGGTGCAACGGCAGAGCCAGTGGGTGGCCAATGGTGGCCTTGACGACCATAGATTAATTTTCAGCCACCCCAAACCTTTGACGAAGAAAACATAGTTTCCTCAAATGATAGGGTGTTATGCACACACACACAAACATACATGTATGTATGTATGTATGATCAGTTGTCCATCGCTACTCCGCGGTTCGTTTATCGCGGACTTGCTCTATCACATTTTTTTCAAAATAAGATTGGATGTGACACACAATTGGCTGACTGATGGATGAGCTGCACAATCGGCATAGAATTTTATTTAAAATAAATTATTTTAAATTATTTAGCTCCTGCTGCACTTTTGTGCAGCCCATGCTGCAGGATAAACTTCCTGCTGCAGCTGATCAGCTGTTCACTGTGCAGAGAGGAGAAGTGGGCGTGGCCAAGAACACTTGCAGGTGGCAAAGAGTAGAGGAGGCAGGGAGCTGAAATCATGACATTCTGTGCTCTTGTAGAGCGTTTAGAAACATTGCTTAGAATATTGCATGAGTGTGGAAAGGGTTTAAAAACCCCTTACTTACTACTTGTACTACTATTCCTACATGTTTTTTTTTCCACTTATCATGGGTCTTCAGGGTACGGATCCCCAGCGATAAACGAGGGACAACTCACTACTGTATGTATGTATGTATGTGTACGTATAGCAATGGCCATCTTGGATTTTGACATTTTTATACCTACATACAGCCACACATCAAAATGAAAGTCGCCACGTTGCTTTATTTCTTTTTTCAAGTTATCTTGCTCACAAGGTTAACATATATATATTTGACTGCAGCCATCTTGGATTTTGATCGGGGCAACCCAATTTTCGAAAGAACCCTTTCGTTACAGAGGGAACAAGACAATGAGCTACCAAAAAAAATGACAGCTCCTTTGGTTGTACTGTTTTTAATAAAAATCCCAGTTTGAGTTTTAGGAAGTTTTTGACTCCAATCTCAAATAAATTCATAGCAAGTAAAATTTTATTTCATAAACTTTTACTCTCCTGCCAATTTCACCACAGAAATATTTAGGAGAATATTTGAATCCTTTAAAGACACAAATAGCGGCATCAGCGAAAGAACATTAAATTTTTACATTGGACTCGTTTGACAGCAATCCTTTTTGTAAATTGGTCCACTCAGCTTCATTGATGAGCTAATAAAAGCTTATCTGAGTGGACCCACACCCAAAAAGGAATGCAATCAACTTAGAACAACTTTAATTTTCTAAATCTCACAGCGGCATACGTAAACGCTATTATTTGAACCTTACGTCTTTGTCTAGTTTGCTTTGTATGGTTATTTGAGCAGAAATATTAAATTCCATAGCAGAACTGAGCACAGCGTCACTGGAAATGTTGCCTCTCACTGCTGTCACTATTAGCATTTGCAAAATAACTACAAAATTCTATGTAAATAAATGCATATAGCAAAACAGACACCAATATAAAAGTTAATAAAGTAACATTTGTATTAGTAACCACGAATTGATGCAGCAGTGGTAATAAATTTAGATACTATTGTAACTACAAAATCCATTACTTTTACTGCTTAAAAAGAGTCTGCGAGCAGCTTTAGGCATTTCTACAGGTAAAACATATATATTTTTTATTTTTGTGAATGCCGAACAAACTCCGTTCACTTCTTTTAATTCACATTTCTTCTTTTGGATACCTTTGCTGGTGTATGTGTATTTGTAAGAGACATCTGCTGTTCAGGAGAACTGCAGCGACGTCAGTATAAACAGCAACAACCAGTGTGCTTCAACCTGACTATATGAACTTTAACTTGTGTTCGTATGTGTTATATAGGAAATTCATTTTTATGCTCACCACTGGATTAATTAGAGTATTGAATACATTTTAACTTATTTATTTTGCATCAAGCCTCATTTTTGAGTGCAAATTGTTTACGGTGAGTCTGGTTTTATCAAAGCATTTTGCAATTTTCAAACAAACCTGTTTGTTTTTGTTGTTCTTCTTTTGTGCTGCAGGGGTCGCCACAATGAGCAAACTCGCATGAAACACATCTGTTTTACACCAGATATCCTCCCTGATGCAATCCAGACTTAAACCTGCAGTCAGCATTACAAGACTACGGCGCTGACCACCAAGCTACCATGGCCCCAAAACAAGACCTGTGGGAGCGCCCATTACTTTCTGTTAGTTATTAGGTATTTTAGGTATTTGTTGTGTTGAATCTCATTGTGGCAAATCCAAACTCCAGTTAAATTATTAAAGCCAATTTATGCTGCATATGTATCTTTAATGAACTGGATCATTAACATTGTGGCTCAAGATAGATATCTACAGAACCTCACTTCAGAATGGACGGATTATCCCTTTAAGGACAACAAAGTAGCTGTGCTCCTATATGTGATGGTCTGAGGCAGCAGGTGTTTGTTGATGATGCTCTAAGTGTCCCGACCAAATTATTATTCCTCATCCCCCCACCCCCGACCAGATTATTATTCCTCATTCTTCCCCCTACCCCATGTACCTTGAAGTCCACTGACAGCTGTGGGGTGTACTCCAGAGTCCACAGAGCCCTGACCAGAGCTGCCAGGTGCTCCGTGACTTCTCCCTTCACCAGCCCGTTCTGGTCCAGGTCCATCCGGTACCGCTCCAGACCCAGGTACTCCGCCAGCAGATCCGTGTTGCTCAAACACTGGACCACGGCGTTCATGAAGCAGGTGTTCCCGAGGTTCTTCAGACCCAGAACCCCGGGGATTTTGTCTCCGTACTGGTGGAGGAGTTTCTCTCCGCCCGCGCACAGAGAGGAGGTGCACGGAGGGGCTTTCACCGGACGATCCCGACCCGCCTGCTGCGCATCTTCCTTCACCATGACCCCCGAGCTGGCGCTGAGGGTGCAAGGTGCGCCATTAGTCCGAAACCCCCCGTCGTCGTCCTCCGCGTCCCGCGCGTCAGCGGCGTCCCCAAAGTGGGTGAAAGTGCCCAAAGTTTTGAAGATCCTGTTCACGAAGCTCCCCACGGACTTCAGCGACCTGACGCGGAAAAGCTTCCCGGATCTGGGCTTCTTGTCTCTGCGCCTCTCCTCCTTCGACATCCCGTCCTCCTTGTCCAGTCTGCTCTGCTTCTCCATGGCGACGGCGCGTCTCTCACTCCCTCGTCGGTTTAGTCAGCTGAGAGCTGGGCAGAAGTCGCCGGGGTGTCCCCTCTCCGCCCGCGTCCCTTACTGTCCGGAGGGAAGGTGCCAGCATCCTCTCTGAGCCCGGAGACATCACAGCTGCGTGTCGGTCCGCTCGGTTCGGACGGAAACCCGTCCTGGTCCATCCCTGCTCCGAGCAGGAGGCGCTTATCAGAGCTTCCCCCAAACAGCAGGAGAAAGGAGAGTCCGGCACCACCAGAGCAGTGGAGATGAACAACTTCATCCTGGAGGAGGGTTGAGTCACTGCATCCACCCCCCCCCCCCCCCCAACATTTAAAATAAAAAACACACACTCCTGTCAGGGTACTTCCTTAGGAATAAAGTTGTAAGTTAAACATCTTCAATGTTTAAAAATGTAAATAAAATCAGAATGCAATGATTTGATCAATCAATCAATTAAACAATCAATCAATCAATCAATCAGTAATCTCTTAGCAGCTATTAGACTTTATAAACACAACAAAATCAATAATTGTTGACATTCCCGCTCTCACTTACAGTTGTTCCATTTCTTGGACATAGTGTGCCACTTTAATTGGTGATGTGACTTATCTGTGCTGCTGATTATGCTGCTGATCTCATGCTGCTGCTGATCTCATGCTGCCGATTTCTTGTCTTTAAGCTGCTGCCACCTGCTTACAGACTCATGTTCAGGCTGCTGTTTAATACACCATATTATTTTAAATTATTAGTGTTTAGTGTATATCTTAGCTCCTTACTGTTTCTTTTTATACTTTATATTTTTGCTATTTTTGCTTGTAACTGGGACCTTGTGTACACAGTTTCGTTCCACCTCATGTACCACATGTGATGCGAATGACAAAGCACCCTTCTTTTCCATCCAGAAACACACTAGACCCATATTGTGTATTCTTTAAATTATCCTAATCGTTCCCCCCTCTTGAATCTGGGTATGCTCATTTTAATAACTGCACAGTATTTTTTTCACAAGCTGCCTTACTGTACAGTCTCATTTATATTCTGTTTTTATATTTTCTACCTTTGTGTGGATCTGCACTGTTTGATTTACCTGTCACTTTGCTGCTAGTACACCTGAATTTCCCCTGAGGGACAATAAAGGTTATTTATATTTATATTTTATTGCATTTTACTAATCTCATAAACCCAGATTTTACTATCCCACAGTTCAGCACCTGCACTCTTGTACTATAAAGACATGCTGTTGGATGCACGTTGTTGTTGAGCATTGTCTTGCTGAAATGTGCAAGACCTTCCCTGAAAAAAACTCATGCAAGAAGGCTTTACTGAAGAACTGCAGCTGTTTGTGCTTGTAAATACTAATAAATATAAACTATTTTGCTTTTCCATTGTTTTTCCTTCCTTTCCATTTTTATTTATAAACCCCTATAAAGTCCTCTGGACCAAAGTGCTGTACAGTGCAATACAAGGAAACAAATGTACGCTCGTCTAGTTACAGTACAAAAATTAAACTATCAAAGGTTAAAGGGGGAAAAAAATCATAAAAATGAACGTCTAACAAGTAGCCAAAGAATAAAAATGAGTTTCAGGTGAAGATTTAAACACATCAATGCCTGTCTAATGAGCAGAGGCACTTTGTTCCACCCCAAAAGCACCGTCCATCCTGGGTTTCCTTAGTTTTCGGTCCTGTCCTGATCAGCAGACTGAGAGAACGGGTCGGTAGATAAGGCTGTAGCAGAACGGTAAGGAGGAGCAAGACCGATTAATTATTTTAAAACAAAACTGTTTTCAAATGGATTCTAAAGTGGATTGGCAGCCAATGAGGAGATCACAAAATTGCTGTAAAAATTTCTTGGGGGGTGGGGTGGGGGGTGTCAATAGACAGCCCACATGCTCAATGGTCTCATCAACCTGGGCTTCATAAGATTAGCTCGGCCCACCCAACACCTGGCTGTAATCACACTGGTGACACAGCGAGCACACGCCTGTTTTATTTCTATTCCTGGGATTCTTCTAGATGTTGTTGGGACTCACCTGAGCTCTTGGCTTTTCTTTTTGTGCATTCGCTCCATTGAAATGAAGACAGCTGTAAAATAATAATAATAATAATAATTATCCATGCATCACATTGTCTGTAATCTGGGAAAACTTTTGTGGGCATGTTCCTCTCGTCCGGAGGAAAATACTCACCTGCCTGCCCACTCTCCCCCACACTACATCTGTTTCTGCTCAGACTCCTGGATCCTTGTTATAATCCTCTTCTCACCCAAAACAGGAACAAAAGCAAAAACAAATAGGACTTTAAAAAAAAAAAGTACTTACGCTTATTGCTCCACACAGTGCAAAGTTTACACAGTGTAACCCCTACCAACTTGAATATGTTGCACCGAAAAGGTTTATTTGCATTCCCTGTTCAGTTCCAGTCCGTAAAAACACTCATCTCCATCATGTCTTAGCCACTGTTGGACCAGCCTTGAGCTTATCAAACAGACCAGAAATCAACTTTCTTTCTCCAAACTGAAGTCATTCAAATAGTTATCTAGAACAGGTAAGACGATTTCTCCACTGAGCCTTACTTCAAAATGGCTGACCTGTGCTTTAACTAAAGCCTTAATGGAAGGCAGGTGTAGTGTAAAAAGTGTGAAATGCTGCCATCTCATGTTTGAGCGCCTCATTTAAGCCTTGCTCTGCTTGTGTCAACGCTTTAAGGAGTTTCTATTATCAATGTGTTACTTTCAGCAGCCTTCAGAGGAATTACTTTGTAAAAAAAAAAAAAAAAATGAGTAAAGAGCTCCTTGCAGACAATGCATCTCATTTAAAGGCAAAGAGAGTAAATACTCTTCTTTGTAGCGTAGGAAAATAGCAGCTAACCACTCAAGCAGTCTGAAGTATTGATTTCTACTAATTCTGACTTGGGGAAAGAGAAGACGTTGTGTGTGAATGTGTGTGTGAGTGACAGCCACTGCCTCCAGTGAAAACTCATTAGCTAAGCCTTTAGAAGCCATTCATCACAGGTTACGATGTTCTGGATTATTACTCTCATTACGGTGCTATGAATTATAAGACAGCTTATCTCTGCGCTCGCTATGTAGATATGTTTAATAACACAGAGTTGTCACAGATCATGTTATTAAAACCTGCAGATTTATTGCTGCAGAGAGCTGAAGCTACTTGAACGTCTCTCCTCCACGCTGCTCATGTTTTCCGTAACCTGCTTTAAGACTTTGTGTTTTCTCCAGTGCTTTTTAACTCAACTAAACCCAGAATCTTATACTTTACTCACATTAAAATAAAATTTCAGGTATTTTAAAATGTTAATTAGCTAACAAGTCATGAACATCTTACCTGCTGTAGATAGCTCTTTGAAAAAAATTCAATTTGGAGAAACAAAGTTTATTTTGGTCTGGATTGATGAGCTAATGGCTAGTCTGAGCAGGGCTAGGACCAAAGTGGTCTTGAGCTTTTCAGATTTCATAGGTGTTCTGCTATTTGATAAACCATAATGTTACCATGGTTTTCTCATTCCAGTTATGTTTCTGGTATTTTACCAGCACACATATAGCAGCAGCTAGCTGTAGCACCTGTGGCACATCCAACAGGCATGTCATAACATTTATATTGGATTAACCATGGAATAGTGTCCACGTGAACTTCTAAAATTTGGAAATTCACAGTTTTTTAAGAAATCAGAGATCGTTGGTCCTGTTCTGACCAAAGGCATTACCAAGAGGAGTCAGGGGGTTAATGGCCACCCCTACCCACCCCCCACCCACCCTGGTCAGAAATACTGTAAAGTCCAATTAGTTATTACTAAAAAAAAACACGCAAACCGATTGCACTTAAAAAAAAAACCAAGTACTACGTATTTTAAGTTGTACTAACTAGTGCTTCCTTTGTAGAGCACAAATACATGAGTTAAGCAACTTAAACAGTCAAGTAGCATGTACTTGATAACTTACTTTAGAAGTACTCTTGACTTAGTAAAGCCTGTTTAGAATTACTATTTAAATCTACTAAATCATTGCATGTGAAATTTACTTAGACCATATACCATACTTATCAAAGTTGGGATGACTTAGCATTTCGAAGTTATATTTACTTGAACAGGAATCTGACTTACTTGCTAAAACCATATTTATTTAATTTTGTCACATTCCACCCTCCATACCTCAAATATCTATGCATCAAAAACAGGATCCATTCTTCTAATATAACCTGAATTACAATTAAAAACAACAAATCAAGGTAATAAGTTGAAAATTGAATCAGTTTTTTTTTCTCTTCATTTTATATGAACTTTAAAGAGTGTCTTTAATGACATCCACAAAAAGCTTTAATATTATAAGATCAATAATATAGATCAAAAGTATCTATGGGGAAAAAATCAAATAAAAACAGTGCAAGTTTGTTGAAGAGGTGCAGAAACCTGAGAAGGTAATGACTGTCATGAACATACGTAGATCTAGAACCTCTAGTAACTTGCTGATGAACTCATGGGCTGACAGTTTGAGTGGAGCGTCTTAATGTTGTGGACAAAAAAAAACCCATAACAACTGAATCCACTTTTGAACAAGTGAGATTTACCAAATGTCACTCGTACATTTGCATTCTAACGCAACAAGAGATTTCCAAGACGCTGTAGTTTTGGTGGGAGTCTGTTCTCTCCCAAGCCAAGCATCACTGTTTGAATGAAGACATGTTTTTCACAGCATCATGGTAGTCCAAAGGTGAAGCACATGACAGTCCAAACAAGAGGCAAAGTGCCTCAGGTAGGTTCTGGAGATCATTCAGCACAGACCTCCCTCAACAAGGATGTCTGTGGACACTGGGTGAAAGTGGAGCTGATTTGAAGAGAGTTGCACATCTTTACAGTTTCTCAGCTGAGGTGTGAGTGCCAAGATGGCCACCGTTTCCACCTTGTTTTGGTTCTCAGTTCACGTCACATCTCCTTTGCTACATTTGAGTCATTTTGTATGCTGGCTAAGAAATAACAAAAACACAGAACAAAACATTGTGCTATTCATGGAGAGATATTAACTTACAGTAACATCTCAGACAGAGTCCAAACATTCAGAAATGAACCTGACACCAAATCAAAATTTGAAAACAAAAAGAACCGAAGCAGCACCA